AGGTCAAACTTTGTGGATTTGGTCCAAAATTCATGAAAAATCAGAAGATGTACATTTTGGAATGTAAAAAATCTGTGGTGTCAGAAGGTTTTAATGGTAAACAGATTATATAGAATTCCCTAACCCCAGGGAAGCAGTAATACAGGGTTATTCATTTTAAACATTGACGTAACAGGTCAGACCACCAATGATCAGACAGGTTCGAATGTGACACTCGCAGAATGGAACTGTTTTGATTAGCTGTATTATAACAGGGTATTTATTAATACAGTACGTACACTGAAATCAAAACAGTAATCATCGGTGTTCCCCAGTGTATGTTACTGAAAAATATGGAAGTCAACACTTTGAATCATGTGAATAAAAAATGCCTGAAATGACAATTAATTATTCTCAGATTAACCAATTTCACTGAGAGACTTGTGTGTTTTGAAAATGCAGATTTAAGAACCATTAGTAATCATCCATGCCCTGTTGCAATTCACTAAACTTGTTCATGTCTTCCAAAGTTCAATATGCAACATAACACACTGTCAATTACAAAATCTAGGTCACAAACCCACAAATAGAATTTTTGTCAAAATTAACTACATGTACCTACACAAAGGATGGCATGCTTGTATTTTAAATATAGTTTCAGAATAACGATTCTTGAGTGGTATTTTAAACAACGGCCAGTGAATACTCTGCAGGGTAAACCAAAGTTGTGGAAGAATATAATATTAAGTACTGCAATGATACTGCTCAAAATGGATACTTGATTCACAGGCTCGAAGATGTAAACTAATTTTTATTTCTAGAGATTTTAATTACAGTGTCAAACCAGCTTTAGCTGATGCCCATGCTCACAGTAACCCTCCCCCACCTCTCTGCAAAAGAATTGGTATTTAAATTATCCACATTTTGTTTATGGCTGGCACAGATGGGAAAAGGTTTATTGGTATAAATCAGACCAGATGTAGCCACAAGCTTAAATTTGCTCTTAATTGTAGGGAAGCTAGAGCTAGTGATTATTATACCAGCACTAATATGCACTTGAAAATGAAAAGAAATCTCCAAAACAATATATAGTATTTAAAAAATGCAATGAGCAATTCTAGTAATAAAATAAAAATTCCCATTCACCTGGGGATGCTATTTGTTTTTGTACATCAAACTAGGTGTACTATTTATTTGTCTATAGCAGCGATGCCTTTAATATACATTGTATAAACCCAGACTGTGTTTTATTTGCATGTTTATCTGCAAAAAAACCCCGAGAAAAACGCCCCCATAGAATCCAATCTGACCTTTGCACATTCGCATAATTGATTCAACATCTGGGAAACAGCCTAGCATATATTGTTATTTTGTTTTCACATATTTCCCTACTCTAAATTTGTATTTTAACATTAAGCAGCAATTAATTTACTCTGTTTTCCAAAGCAAACAGCAGATATATTAACAATAAGTTGATAGATATTTTATTCCCAAGACATGCACTCTACATGCCTGGCCACTGT